GAACCCTCCAGGATTTATTCCTGATATATAAAAATATTAATATAGTTTTCAGATTTTAGAAGCCTCCAGAATATGATTCTGATATACTTTAAATCTAACTGTCCCAAAACCCTCAGAATGACATTGTGTCATATATATAACTTTTGATTATCTATTTAAGTAGTCTGCTTATTACTAAATTCTACACTAGATGTTATATCTATAACTTATCTAGAGAGTTACTAGTTTAAACTATTTGTATCTATAGAGTTAATTGGATGTTCTATAGAATAGGTGGGCAAACTCTGCAAACTCCGCAACTCTGATATTAAAAAATTAATGATTACTAATTATTAGTGAAGCTTATTTTTTATATTGCTCACCTATTCTATAGAACATCTAGTTAATTTTTATAACTAAACAAGAGTAAATTCATATTTTCTTATTTTTAGATACCTGATTTAGAACTTTAAAGTAGATTTTAACCATTTTAAAGAATCTTTTATTCTTAAGATAAACTTGCTAAAACTTTTGTATTCACAATCTAGCTAATTTAGTCTTTAGTAACTTATACTAAGTTTGAGAATAAGTACTTGTGAGCTAAAACTGCTACTATTACCTATTTCTATACTTGTAAAGTTTATTTAAACCCAGTACTTTTCTTTCAAGACAACCTGGTACTTTTTTTTTCAGTATCTCTTAATTGGTCTCTCTAAATTACTAATTCAGATAGTCCAGAAAAGACACCAGTCTTCTGATATTTGCTGATCTTTTTCTTCAGTTGATGCTCTGACAATCTGGTTGATAGAGCAACTTGTTAATGCTCTTGCCTTGTCTAGTTAACTGGCTTTGAGTAAAACCTATTCTAATAGCTACAGTTAAAATTTATGCTACCTCTTTACTTGGGTCTTGCCAAGTAAACATTTATCTTTTTAGTTCTCTGGTTTTATATAATCACAAAAACTTATTTTAGGTTTGCACTATCTAATACTAGCTTGTATGCTTTTGTATAATTTATATATTGCATAAATACTATAATCTTCTAATTATGTTAGTATTACCAAAGTTACAGAGATCCTGTTTCAACTGATTGTTGAAATACAGTAGCTATTATACAAGTAAAATATTTAAAATTTGTCACCAGTAGGTTTTAAACCTCTATCTAGCTAACATATTGCTTGGGGTGTGATAACTTAACTATTTCATTAAGTTACTATACTCTCAAAGAATTTTTTTTATTAGAGTCTCAAAGGTGGTTTTATAGTAGAATTTAAGAGATGCAATATATTGTATATACAATAAATTTTAAAACCCTTATTAGTAATAAATCTTTTAGTTTAAATACTAAATATTTTAAAAAGTTTTATTAAAAACTATACTATTTTAATTTCAAAACAAACTGCTTATAAAATCTATATTTTAATATATTATTTTACTAGAATTTTATTAATAATAACTATAAACCTTTTATAAAAACAAAATTTTTAACTTTAAATTAAAAGTCTTCAACTTTTGTTTAAAAATAATTTGAATTAAGTAATTATTAAAAGGGTTTCAAGTTATACTTTTATTGTATATTAAAATTCTATTTATATTATTATATAATTTTAGTAATTTTGAACTCTTGTATTTGAAATAAACAGTATACTAAAATAATTATAAGCAAAATTTTTTTTTAAATCACAATATATAATGTGTTTAAAAAAATAATTTTAATATACAATTTTATAAGTTAAACAAAAAGAAAAATGTTAAATATTTTTTTTAATCTACAATAATTATATAAACTTAGAAAGATTCAAACACAACGATATTTAAACAAAAAGAATAAGGTTTCCAATAAAAAAACCAAAACATGTAGTAAATATCACCCCCCAAAAATAGTTAGTATAAATATGTTCAGCATGAGATATTGTAGGGGCAGAAGATTTTTGTTGCGACGGAGATGCAGATAAATGAGTTTTAGCACTGAGAGGTGGAGTTTTAGCAACGAGAGGTGGAGGAGTTGTTAACAGAGTTTTAGCAACGAGAGGTAGAGTGGCTGTAGACAAAGAAGTTTTATCAACGAGAGGTAGAGGGGTTATAGACAAAGGAGTTTTAGCACCGAAAGTTGGAGGTGAAGGGATTGAATTGGGCGGTGAAATAGTTGAGTCCGGAATAGGTATTGGAGTAGTTATTGGAATTGATTTCGGAGCAGGTATTGGAGTAGGTATTGGAATTGATTTCGGAGTTGATTCCGGAGTTAATTCCGGAGTAGGTATTTGGTCAATACTATCAATACTCTGTTTAGGAGTATTATCAGTTGGGGTCGTAGAATCTTTAATTGCAGGAACTACAGGGGTTGGGGAGGGTGCAGCAGCTTGTTGGTTTGTATTTTTTGATGAACTATCTGAGCTTTTATCCGAGCTTTCAAATGAACTATCCAAGCTTTCAAATGAACTATCCAAGCTTTCAAATGGACCATCAGAGCTTTCAAATGGATTATCTGAGCTTTCAAATGGATTATCTGAGCTTTCAAATGGATTATCGTTATCTGAGCTTTCAAATAGACTATCAAAGTTTGCAAATGGACTAACTGAGCTTTCATTTGGAATATCCGAGCTTTCATTTGGAATATCCGAGCTTTCAAATGGATTAACCGAGCTTTCAAATGGACTAACCGAGCTTTCATTTGGAATATCCGAGCTTTCAAATGGACTAACCGGACTAACTGAGCTTTCATTTGGAATGTCCGAGCTTTCATTTGGAATATCCGAGCTTTCAAATGGAATATCCGAGCTTTCAAATGGACTAACCGGACTAACTGAGCTTTCATTTGGAATATCCGAGCTTTCAAATGGACTAACCGAGCTTTCAAATGGACTAACTGAGCTTTCATTTGGAATATCCGAGCTTTCATTTGGAATATCCGAGTTTTCATTTGGAATATCCGAGTTTTTAGGAATGCCAATAAAAGTTTCATCACCTTCAGACTCGTTAGGTTGGTCCGAAGGTGTAAGATCACCCTCAGGTGGACTCATACCTTTACCGTTAGCCGACATTATATCTTCGAATTGTTTCATCATATTTTGATCAATAGTCAATTTAAGATCCTGGGACTGGGCAACTACAGTGACAGCGGAAATGAAGATAATGACAAAATAAAGAAAGAAGAGAACTTTATTTTGAAACATGACTTGGCTTTATTAGTCAAGAGCAACAAGGTAAAAATATCTCTTTGAGAGTTTTAAGTGGCTACTCGTGAAGAAGAAACGTGCATTACTTTATCATTCGTCTCGGATAATAACAAAACTGGGGCGTATTTATAGACATTTTATACATTATCACATTTTCTTTAAAAAATAATAGAAACTACTTTATGCCAAGTTTAACATAATATACTTGAGTTACATTTAAGAAAAACGAATTAGAGAGGGAAATTGTTTAATGATAATTACAAGAACACATTTGATACGTATACGCAGGATTACATTAGTTTTAAGGGGCCTCAATTATTTTTGATAATTGCTGGATAAAAATGAATCACGTTATAATAATACTAATAATTTTGATGTAATTTTGATATGAGGAAAATTAGAAAATTTGCCACTAGATATTTATTAACGTAAAAACTGTATTAAAATATGTGATAATGCATGTTAAGAAGTTTATCATAAATAGATCACATCTTTGAATATTTTAGTTGGATAACTTTTTTGTTTTTTTTTTTCAAAAACAAAATACAGTCGCACTCCCATATAATCACACCATCGGGACCCACAAAAAATGTTCTTATATAGAACATATACTTATAATATGCTTATATAGGGAATTATTTTTATATATTTAATAGTAGTTGGTTAAATAAATGTGTTTATATAGGTGATGCGCTTATATAGGAGGTGCTTATATGGAGTGCGACTATATATAATATTCACACACATATATATCTTAGATAGCTTATGATGATGTAAAGTGTGTATGCGTTTGAATTGGGTTAACATATACCCGCTTTTTTAATAATGCCCTTGCAGCGGAAAATATCATCGTCATAATAAATTTTGACATCGATATGAACTAGTATTGTAGATGGTTTCTACCGTTAAGAGTAAAATTTCTCACGTCTAGGGATAGGTAGACAGATTAGCCAGCGTTTTTTAGTTTTTCGTAAAATTTGTCAATATTCACATACCATATTTGCGCGTAATAACGCCCATGTGCATTATTACGCGCGATCAAAATTCCTCGAATACTTATAACGGTAGAAACTTACCTAAATATAGTGCACTCAGCCTAAACGCTAATGACATCAAGGTGCTGAAATTTTGTGAATACGACAGGTCAAATATAAGTCAAATGTTAATTTCAAAAATTCTAGTTAAAAATTAAACATTTTAAAATCAAATCGTAATTCGATGGTTCTTATCAAATATTATCCCTTACATATTTGTACGCTAAAATAATTGGAAGAAAATAAAATTATAAAAAAAATTTTTTCTATAGAAATTAATTGACTTTGATGACTTCCAAGGGTTCGAAAAGACATAAATTCACATGATGACTGTGACCCTATCTTCGTAGTCATGCTCCAAAAATCCCCGCATGTGACGGTATTAAAGGATTATTATTGTCACGTACAGGTTTCCTTTTTAATATTAAATTTTGTCGCAAAACGAAAGTAATATCACAATTAAGGCCTAATAAAATTCGGAGTAAATGCGCAAAAATAGATCTCTAAAAATTTTAGCGTACAAATATGTACGCTATACGGTTTAAGGGATAATATTAAATACGAATTTTTTTTTAAAAAATAATAATAATAATAAATGATGTCTTTAGAAAACTGCGCGCATCACGTCTTGTAAATCGAATATTGGGCCTACTACATACGTATATGGTGGACATTATACTAAAAAAAGATATAAAATTATACGTAAAATTAAGAGTTAAACATTTTTACTTGATGAATAAAGTCTTCATATCAAATTTGTGTTTCTATTTTTATACAATATGCCTAGTGTTTTGACCCGGGTTGGGGTAGGGATCTGCAAATGTCCATGTCGGGCATATTGGGCATCATGCCTGGCACTAATGCTTGTGAGGTTGCCCGTGCCCATGGACACAAAAGTTTTAGGCATGTTGTAGGCACACATGTAATGTTTTAGGCACCTTTGAAGCAGGCACTTTGTGCCCTAATGCCTGATAGTTTAGGATCGATTGTTCATACTTATAATGCAAAGTGCCCAACATGTGCCAAATACTTTACGCCTGTGCCTCAAA